GAAAATGTCTTGGGTGGAGCACAGCTGCCACCTCAGTCATCAGTGACCCCTTCTAACCTCCAGCTGCACCCAAGATATAGGCTGCACACCCATACATTTAAAGCACATTTAATGTGCATGACTGTCCCCCAAATAATCCTGGGAACTGCAGTTTGTGAAGAGTGTTGGGCATTGGCGCTCAGTGAGGGGTAAACTACAGTTTCCTTGAGGAAAGTCATGTCAGCCACTTTATCTGGAACTGTCTTCCTTTGTTCACACTTAACAACAACGTTGTTGTAGGAGATGTAGGGGATTGAAGTTTGTATGCAAACCACATGCTCTGCCCACTGAGCTACTGCCTTTCCCTGTTATTTGTGTTCATCTCCTCTGCATGCTTGCCCAAAATAATTTCCCCCGTGGTGATCCAACTCAAGACACAACCACAAATTCCCATTCAGGAATTTCTGGGGATTCCAGTCAGTTCTTTCCTGTTAGCCTGTTACATTCATTCATGCCCCCTGCAATTTCCCTGAACTCTGGCACAGACATACCACAAACATGCACACAAACCATGCACTCAGGAAACTGACTTCTTCTTTTAAAGAGCAATCTGCTAGCGAGAAAATGCTTCCCACTTTTGCTGAAGCACGCTTTCCCCGGCCCCAGGCAATAAGCACTAATGAACTCAGCGGCTGAATGCGGAATTAACTAATGCATTGTCTCTCCAAATATCTAACCAGTGACCTCAAACCACAAAGCTTGGAAAGGAACAGGAGTGCATTGCAAATTGCGGAAGTAGTAGTGGTGCAATGACAGAGGAGAGAGGAGGGAGGAGGGAGAAGCTGAAAAGCTTTTGCCCTGCAGTCCCAATGACTGCTTTGAATTAAGGCACTAGTCCATCTAGCCCAGTATCATCTACTCTGGCAGGCAACAGTTCTCCAAAGACTCTCAGGCAGGGATCCTTCCCCAAGTGGCGCCTGGCCTTGCTACTCCTTCTCCTTGCTTTTGCTGCTTATTTGCCAGCCAAGGGAGCGAGCCATGAGAAGAGCGAGGAAGAGAAGGAAGGGGTGGGAGGAGGAGGAGGTGGAGAATCCCTGTGTTGTAAACAAAAAATGTCCTTTTCCCTTATGGGGTATCCAAGAGCCCATATAGAGTCCTTACATAGGTTCCCTATTGGTAGGAGAAGATAACAGAGGCCAGCCAGAGAATATTGAGAAGCAAAGCGGCTAGTAAGCTTGATCTTTATTGATCTGTTGCAACAGGGTGCTCCCTTCACACACAGCAGAGGAGGAGGAACCCAGAACAATGGCGCGCATGGCCTTATACTTTTGAAATTGCCACCTTGTAGATCAAGACCACCCCCAGAAACATCATACATACATCACAGAAGGGGTGTTACCTAAGACCACCCCTCAGATACATCACACCTACATCACAGAAAAGGCGGTCTTAAAACAGAAATTTGAATGTTGTTTTTCTCCTGTCGTTGTTTATCTCCTGTCTGGCAGGTTACTTGAGATCTTAAATGTGCCCTTAAGACGGGATTTGTGAGGAAAGAGACAATGGGGAGGTTTGCCACTTTGACCTTGCAGAGAAAACATTTTGCTCAGTTTAGGAATCAAAATGGTTCCAGGTTGGCCTTCCTGTGCTGATCTATGTACATGCTTGGTTGGTACACTTATGAACATTACCATATCTCTAAGACCATAAATTCCTATCACACCTGCATGCTTTGTTCCCTCGCTGGCAGGTGATTGTAGATGGGACCCAGAGGGAGAGGCAAGGGGGGGGGAGTATCACCAACGGGAAGGAGGAATCGCAGGGTTGAAGGCCAACTCACCCAAACCCTCTCTTCAGTGCAGAATCTGCAATGCAGGAAGCAACCACAGTTGACAGATGGCTCCGCACAGCCTCTGCTCCAGTGCCTTCCGCAAAACTAAGAGCGCAACCACCTTTCAACAATGCAGGCTATTTCTTACCACGACGAAGCTTCTCTGGATGTTTATCCAAATTTGGCTTCAGTGCTGGTTCTAGCTTTGCCATCCAACCAACAGATTTGCAGTCTGCTCCATCTTCTGCACTGACAGCCTTTCAGGCTCTTGGAAGACCATCAGCACATCTTCCCCTATTACGTGCCCCACCAAGAGGCAGGCAAGCATGTTCCGCCTAATCCACTGAGAGCAACTTGACTGACACACCCACACCAAGGAGCGGGAGGAGAAGACCCTCCTTGCTGGCAACAGGCCTTTTTAATGCAATTCTGCTCTGCTTTGTCATGGCAAAGGGATAATTTGCCTTGCGTGTGTGTTTTGAAACTTGTACTACTTTAGGCTTGCCCAATAATGAAGAGGTAGGGATGCGGATGGCACTGTGGGTTAAACCACAGAGCCTAGGGCTTGCTGATCAGAAGGTCGGCGGTTCAAATCCCCACGACGGGGTGAGCTCCTGTTGCTCGGTCCCTGCTCCTGCCAACCTAGCAGTTCATCAAAGTGAAAGTAGATAAATAGGTACCGCTCCAGCAGGAAGGTAAACGGCATTTCCGTGCGCTGCTCTGGTTCGCCAGAAGCGGCTTAGTCATGCTGGCCACATGACCCGGAAGCTGTACGCCAGCTCCCTCGGCCAATAAAGCGAGATGAGCAATGCAACCCCAGAGTCGGCCACGACTGGACCTAATGGTCAGGGGTCCCTTTAGCTTTATAACGAAGAGCCCTGTGGTGACAGGCAAAACTTCTCCCGATGTTCACCACAGCAAGCACCTGCTGTAAGCATAAGCTGAGCTCTGGGATGACAAACAGGGCAGATCTGCACAGGGGCTCAAGATGACCTGCTGGAATGGCCTATTGTGAACTGAGCAACCGCAGCATAGGCTACAGCATCACAATCCAGTTGCCCCCACCTCTCTGAAGCATTGTGAGACCAGTCAGTCAAGGTTGAGCCCCTAAAATCTGGGCCACCCTAGATTGGGTATGGGGAACCTTTGGCCCTCCAGATGCCGCTGAACTACAACGCCTAAACACAAGTGAGTGAGAAGATTAATGATTTTATTCTAAACAGCAAGCAATATATACATTACCAAGCAACCCTTCAATCTGCCACTGGGAAGCCCTCAAGAAGTGGTGAAGTGACTCCCCCAGGTAGCCTCAGTTTTTGCACAGCCCCACGGCCGACAGTCTGTGCGCGAGGTTCTCAGCACTCGGCCCAAAAACCATCTGATTTATAGATTATTGATAGCTAGCCTGTATGGCTTGCCCAACTGCCTACGTGCAAGTCATTCATTCGTCACCCTCTTCCCAATGCTTCTACATCAAAGGTCAGAAAGTGCCCATCGCTATTGCGTCTTCCTTCCAGCAGATTATACATTAAAGGCTGCTCTCAGCCACCAAAGGACTTTAACAAGAGATAGAAAGGGGAAGTAAACAGAGGCAGGAAGAGATGACCATGCTAGATCAACTAACTCCTGGAAATTACAATTACCGTATTTTTCGCCCCATAGGACACACCGGCCCACAGGACGCACCTAGTTTTTTGGGGGGGAAATAAAGAAAAAAAATTATTTCCCCCCCAGGTGCGGGGCTGAGGCGGGGGAAGCCCGAGCTTCCCCCGACCCCAGTCCCCAGAACAGGCTGCTATCCGCAAGCCGTGGGAGAGCTGCGCTACTTCGCGCAGCTCTCCCACGGCTAGCGGAGGGTTGCGCGAAGCCCGAAGCCTGGGGCGTGCTGAGCTCAGTGCACCCCAAGCTTCTGGGTGCAGGCAAACTCTCCGCTAGCTGTGGGAGAGCTGCGCGACTTCGCGCAGCTCTCCCACGGCTAGTGGAGAGCTTCCTGAAGCCTGGAGAGCAAGAGGGGTCGGTGCGCACCGACCCCCCTCGCTCTCCAGGCTTCAGCAAAAGCCTGCATTCGCCCCATAGGACACACACACATTTCCCCTTCATTTTTGGAGGGGGAAAGTGCATCCTATAGGGCGAAAAATACGGTACAGTGGTGCCTCGCAAGACGAAATTAATTCGTTCCGCGAGTTTTGTCGTCTTGCGATTTTTTTCGTCTTGCGAAGCACGGTGTCGGGAAAGTTTTGGAAAAGCTTCAAAAATCACCAAAGTCTTTAAAAACCTCAAAAAAGGCTACCACACCGCGTTCTATGAGTTGCTCCTCGAAGTCAAGTCGCAACTGTATTAACGGTGTTAAGAAAAAGGAAACAAACTTGCAAGACGTTTCCGTCTTGCGAAGCAAGCCCATAGGGAAAATCGTCTTGCGAAGCAGCTCAAAAAACAAAAAACCCTTTCGTCTAGTGAGTTTTTTGTCTTGCGAGGCATTCGTCTTGCGAGGTACCACTGTATCTTCCAGAAAGATTGCCCATACACCATCATCCCTGGCCATTGGCCATACATGCTGGAGCTGATGTCGAGTTGTAGTTCAACATTTGGAAGGCCAGAGTTTCCTCACTCATGTCCTCACTCATGTCTCCCTGTTAGCCGATTCCCAGATCCCTCTTTGTCCCAGTGCACTCCAACCCTTCTCACCTCCTCCCTTTGCCTCCTTTTCATCTCCCTTTAAACAAAACAAGGGAGCGGCAAGCGAAAAGCCCGGTCAGGCGGCTATAAAACAGGGCAAGTGGAAAGGCTACAGAGGCTGGATCTAGACACATCAAATAAGTTTCCGTTAAATGCACTGCAAACTTTGTATGGGAAATCGGGTTAGCAAAAATGGAACTACACAGCACCATCTGGTGTCACAGCATTAGAATGCATAAACAACGCGTATACTGTTATGCGCTTTTTCTTTGCCAATATAGCTGAGTCCAGAGTCTAGCACAGTGATGGCCAAACTTGGCCCTCCAGCTGTTTTGGGACTATAGTTCCCATCACCACTGGTCCTGTTAGCTAGGGATGATGGGAGTTGTAGTCCCAAAACAGCTGGAGGGCCAAGTTTGGCCATCACTGGTCTAGCAGCACAAAGAGCCATTATGAGGTCACAGGGGTTCCACAATGCCGTCAGCAGGCAGAGGTGCCCAGGGAGGCAGGTAAACAGGCAAAGAGAGCATCCTGGGCCATGTGCACCTGTATCCATGAATAGCCCCCATGCCTATGGCGCCGGGAGGCAGGGGATGAAGGTCGCAGAGCCCAAAGGTCTTGTGTCTCAGCTCCTCGGGAGCTGGTTACGAGCCATCCGGTAAGTTATAATGCCAGAAACTCAGAGTCAACCTCTGAAACTGGGAGACAAAAAAAGGTCCTTTTATTTTTACTCATTATGCTATTAACTTATGGAACTCAGTGCTACAAGATGTGTTGGGGGCGGCTTCAAAAGGGAGTTAGAGATATTAATGGAAGATATGGCTTTGCCATAAGAGCATAAGGAAAGCCTGCTGGATCAGGCCAAGGGCCCATGTGGTCCAGCATCCCAGTCTCACACAGTGGCCAACTGGGAAGCCTGCAAGCAGATAGCCAGGGCGTTTGAGCCACCAACTTCAGATGCAATGTGCCTTCAACCACCAGTGCTCTAATTACAGGACTCTTGAAAGCGTCGGGCTGGCGACTGTGGGTTAAATACAGACCTTTGGTCCAAACTTGCAGGGCTCTTTTTATATTCCTATGCTGTCTCCTCAAAACTTGCTCTCTGTCATCTAGCTTCTCTCATTCATGAATTGCTCCTACCAGCTTCCACATCGCTCCTTATCCCTGTCTCTGATGATCAGAGCTAACCAAATGCTTATGCCCCACAGAGAGACCATTGCAATCCTGTTGCAGTTTGCAGAAGATCAGACCCAATGGTTACTTCAAACGGCTGCCAGTTACCGTGTCCTGAAGGCCCTGTTCCCATTTCTGGAATCTTTTGCAAGGTCAGAGCTTCTGCAAGGAAGAAAATGGGGGTGGGGGGAGAAGGAGATGAAGAATCACAGCTGTGATTGTATGGATGGTGTTCATATGGCAGGACACAAAGAGGAGACACTGAGCAAATCCTAAGTCACTTGTGATACAGTTCCAAGAATTTCAGCTTAATTCTTTTAAAATAGGTAATGTGAGAAGTGAGCGTTCCAGTTTTCGAACGATTTTCAGAAGCCAAACGTCCGGCGCAACCTCCGTGGCTTCCAATTGGCTGCAGGAGCTTCTTGCAGCCAATCAGAAGCCGTGCTTTCGTTTCTGAACATTTAGGAAGTCCAACGGACTTCCAGAACGGATTCTGTTTGACTTCCAAGGTACGACTGTATAAGGAATTTTCAAACCTTACTGACTGAAATTTGGTTGTACATCTTATGATTTCTATTTTATATATCACAAAATCTCCTCTTGTGGATGCAGTTTGATTTGTGAACTTTAGAGGCAGAAGAAAGTTGTCAAGCACCTCCCACACAACATTACCATTTGAGAAATATTTAAATGCCACAACATTTCAGTCTGGAGAATGGGCTAGCCAGTTTTCAAATTTGCATGATGTTTCAGTTCTTCATTTTGTACTACAGCTAAGTTCATCCTAAGGACCAGCAGATCACCTATAGACCTACAGAAATGAAGTCTAAAAAAATCTGACATGTTCCGCTTTTCCTTTCCTGGTCTCAAGAAGCCAACACGTAAGTTCTGCTGAGCTCACGACAATCCCCAGCAAGAACCAAGAAGAGATAGCAGGCAGTAGCCAGAAAGATCCCACTAAGAACCACCGGGACGAAGATGGCACAGCATTTCCCTCCCGCTCCACAAGAGAGAACACATCTCTGCCCTCTCAGTCAATCTACACCTTGTTTGACAAAGATGGGCGGCTGGATGTCTTCCGCATGCGCAAGCTGGTCTACGAGAGAGGTAGCCACACAATCTACACTGCAGAGATGCTGGTGGGGGCAAGGAGGGGGAAGCCTGTTTCTGGCATCCTTTAGCCCCCAGGGGTCGCGGGTGGCGCTGTGGTCTAAACCACAGAGCCTCTTGGGCTTGCTGATCAGAAGGTTGGCGGTTCGAATCCCCGCAACGGGGTGAGTTCCCGTTGCTCGGTCCCAGCTCCTGCCAACCTAGCAATTCGAGAGCACGCCAAAAATGCAAGTAGATAAATAGGTACCGCTCCGGCGGGAAGGTAAACGGCGTTTGCGTGCGCAGCTCTGGTTTTGCCAGAAGCGGCTTAGTCATGCTGGCCACATGACCCGGAAAAACTGTCTGCGGACAAACGCTGGCTCCCTCAGCCTGTAAAACGAGATGAGCGCCACAACCCTAGAGTCGTTGCGACTGGACTTAACTGCCAGGGGTCCTTCACCTTTACCTTTTTAGCCCAGGGGTGAGGAACCTTTTTCAGCCCAAAACCACATTTTCTTCAAACACAGTGGAGAATTTTGGGAGGTAATTTGTGCACAGCACTGGGGTGGGGGGACCACAAAGAGAATGTGGTGAAAGGACACTAAATTCAGCTTCCCAGGTGCTTGATTAGTACTAAAGCCCTGGATTTTTGTGTGGGAAGTGGAGAAGAAAGCAGTTTTGAGCTGAAAAGCAGTAGCGGGGAGGGATGCTTAACCCTTTCCCCCAGCAACTTTTTTCTGTGCTGCCTGCAAAGCTGCATCCTCTCCCTTCTCAGGTTTAGACACATGCTTGCAAGATTAACCCCAACTCTGATTCCGCCCCACCACTACTGCAGTGCTATCCATCAGGCATCTCAACTGGATCGGGACCCGTTTAAAACTGTGGTTTGGTGTTACTACACTGGGGGGGGGTGTCAATGTAGGGTAATGTGTGTCTTTTCTTAGGCACACATCCCAGTGAGAGGAAGATCACCTGGAAGTTTCTCTTTGGGGTGTACCCGGAGAAATCCACAACTGAAGAGAGGAAGGAGCTGGACCAGCAAATGTCCTCTCAGTATCGGTGGATGAAGCGCTCGTGGAAACAGCGCTTCCCCTGGGCTGCCGTAATGAGGGTTCATTCCGACTGTAAGTACAACCAATGCCTGCTGGCTTTGTATCCTGCTACATCACCTCCCACTGGGTGGAGCAACAGGGCTCCGCCTCTTAAAGGGATCACGCCTGGCAAATGATGCTTTGTTTACTATTCACTTACTCCTATAGTGGAGCTTTCCTTGGCAATCCAGAGACATGACGAACAATGGAGGGAAGCTGAAACAGCCAGTCCTCCTACAGATATCTTTGATGAGGTGAGATATGAAATAGAAAATTACTTTCTTGAAGTGGACATTAATTATGTTGAGGGGGGTAGGGTAATGAGCTGGTGAGCAAGGCGTAATTTAACTCAAGCTCGGCAAAGCTTAGTCCTAAAATTTGTTTTCAGTGCATTACTGTCTAGGGAAGCTTTTAATGTTTAACAGACCACTGTATTTTAATATTTTGTTGGAAGCAACCCAGAGTGGCTGGGGAAACCTGGCCAGATGGGCAGGGTATAAATATATATTTTTTTATTATTATTATTATTATTATGACACAACCCTGGGAAGACTGTTTCTTTTTTAAAAAAAAAAGACTCAGGTTTTAAGCACATGCAGAGTGAAGATTTTCTAGTTACCACAAAGTGATTGTTACCAGCCAGAGGACACCTAGAGTTAGTGTTTCCCAAACTTGGGTCTCCAGCTGTTTTCAGACTACAATCCCCATCATCCTTAGCTAGCAAGACCAGTGATGATGGGAACTGTAGTCAAAAAACAGCTGAAGACCCAGGTTTGAGAAACACTGAGAGGCTTCCACATCAGAGGACATTTCTTCCAAGTGGTGTTGAGGCCTAACGTCCCTTCCTTCCTCCTTTTTCTTAAAAGGAAATTGTAATGACTTGGAAATCTCTGCCTTTTAACTCTCAACAAAGGGTGGTGTAAAAAAACCAAACCACTCCTTGCACATTCGAAGCCAGCACATCAGAGAAAAGACTTACCCCAAATCTTCTCCCAGACATTGTAATTCTTATATTCTTTGTGGAGAAAAACATTTAAACGCCTGGCTGCAGTTTGAAAAGGTGCAGCCCAGCAATCGGTGCTACATGTGGTGTTCCCCATGCATGTATTTAACTCTTAGGACCGAACCAGATGACAAGACAGTGTAAGATCCACAGAGTGGATATCCTGCAGGATTGGTTTTTGTTAGCTAAAAGCAGCTGTAGGGAATGGTGAACCACTTCAGAGCCATGACACTGGGGGAGGAGTGGAGTTGTGTGTGCTTTTGTCCCTTTACACTCTGTATGTTTCCCACATCTGAAAAATGGTGGCAGGTTGGGAGGGTGGATCAGGAAAACAACAGCAGAAGGAGGAATTAAGCCCCACCTTACCCCAGAATTCTAGTCAATCCACCCTTACCCTGCATGGCTGCTTTTCACTTTCAAGGAAATGGATCTTGACTCTTGAGAAGGGATTGATGGAAGGAAGAGAGCCATGTCAGGGATCTCCTGGTGTCTTAATCCTCCTATTTTACAATGGTCATAGAGTATAGGGCTCCATCTTGAGATGGTTTTCAAAAGCATCTACTGGCCACAGAATCCTGGACCAGGCTGGCTCTTGGCCTAATCCAGCACACAATTACTCTGTTCCCAGACATGGGGTGGAGCTGAGAACTCACGAAATATGCTTCCAAGCATCAGTGTGCTAACTAGCCCTTCCTTAATGTTAAGTTGTGGGCGAACATATCAGACGACCCAGCAATTCTTCAAACAGCTCTTGTTTATTTACAGGCCAGAACAGAACTGAATTGAAGGGTTCAGTCAACCTGCTTATATAGAGCTCCAGTACAACGTAACTGTAACAATTTTCTAAAACTATCCAATCACTGAACGTCACTTTCGATCCCTTATTTGCATAACTATCTACAGTATCCCCCTGCTGGCCCAGGGTGAGAACTTCAGTACATAACACCTAACGTCTCCCACTCTAACGTCAATGCAATTCTGTCTTTCGTCAGCATAGCCTGCCCTTCCAGCACATTAACGAGCAACAGTTCCAAAAGGCGCTGCAAGACATTGATGCCGACGTACCCCAGACGGACAGACACCGGACATTCTTCCAGTGAGAAGTTGGCCCTCCCAGCTGAGCCGAAACAAAAAGTTGGGCTTTCCAGCAAATTTTGAAAATTCAGATTCTGAAAATTCAAAGGGGGGATTTCCTGAATGATGTACAGGCCTGGTGTAAACTATGACCACCACTTCCCCCACAAGCTGGAATCAGCTCACCAGGTCCTGTTCTCACACATACACACATCCATTTTTGCAAACCCAGGCAGACAGGAATCAAATCTACTGAAGGGTTGCTGCTCATACCTGGCAGTTTTCATTTAGTTTGGTAGGCATTGTGCAGGTTTGAAGTCAAATATTATAATATCCCAACAGATTACAGTGGTGCCTCGCAAGACGAAATTAATTCGTTCCGCAAGTTTTTTCTTCTTGCGAGTTTTTCGTCTTGCGATGCACGGTTTCCCATAGGAATGCATTGAAAATCAATTAATGCGTTCCTAGGGAAACCGACTTCAGACCAGGTCCGGGGACAGTCTGTCCCCCGACCTCTTCTGAAGGCTGGGGGGGGGACAAGGGCTTTTCTTCCCACCCCCAGCATTTTAAAAAAACCCGGGACAGCGGAGGGCTTCTCCGCTGTCCGGGGCGATCTTAAAATGCTGGCGGGCGGCATTTTAAAATCGCCCCGGGACAGCGGAGGACTTCTCCGCTGTCCGGGGCGATTTAAAAGCCCTTGGGAAGGCAGGCAGGGGGGACAAAGACTTTCGCCCCCCCGCCAGCCTTCAGAAGAGGTCCTGGACCTCTTCTGAAGGCTGGCGGGGGGCGAAAGTCTTTGTCCCCCCTGCCTGCCTTTAAAAGCCCTCCCGGGAGAGCGGAGAAACGCGCTGCGTTTCTCTGCTCTCCCGGGAAGGCAGGCAGGGGGGACAAAGACATTTGCCCCCCGCCCTCCTTCAGAAGAGGTCCAGGACCTCTTCTGAAGGCTGGCGGGGGCGAAAGTCTTTGCTCCCCCCCCCGCCTGCCTTCAAAAGCTGTCCGGCCAAGGCTTCGCGGACCTCTCCGCAAGCAGCGGCAGCGCTGCCGCTGCTTGCGGAGAGTTGCCGGCATGCCGAAGCCTGCGCGCACTGAGATCAGCGCGCCCAGGCTTCGCGGACCTCTCCTGCCTTCAAAAGCCGTCCGGGATAGCGGGAAGCGCTTCCCTGCTATCCCGGACTGCTTTTAAAATGCTGGCGGTGGGGAGCAAAGCCTTTCGGCCCCCGCCAGCCTTCCTGGACCTCTTTTGAAGGCCGGAGGGGGGGGGAAGGCTTTGCTCCCCACCGCTAGCATTTAAAAGAGGTCCCCGGAGATTTCCCTATGGGCTTTCGTCTTGCGAAGCAAGCCCATAGGGAAATTCGTTTTGCAAAACGCCTCCAAAACGGAAAACCCTTTCGTCTAGCGGGTTTTCCGTCTTGCGAGGCGTTCGTCTTGCGGGGTACCACTGTATACCCAAACATGGACAAATCTGCCCTCTCCTTCAGGAAGAAGTGCACAGAACATTTCTTCCTGGGAATATTTGGCTTGTAACAGCAGAGGAATTTGTCATACAGGACTTCTCCAAAACTCAGATCACGTTACTAAGCTGTCAGCATTCGTCAAAAGCTGGAATGTGCCCTGCTCCCCACAATCTGGGGGGGGGAGGGGGGACCCCACACCTCAAAATGAAAACTTTTGGCCAAGAAACATATGATCACCCATCTCCAGTATCACATTTCCTTTTCATTATTCGTTTTATCTTAAGAGCAGCTCTGATTTTTGCTCAGAGATCAATGGCGCTAGTGGAAGGAGTTTTTAAACCTTCCCACTCCTGTGACGTTTTGCTGGTCTAAATCTTCCATGACACTGCTGTTAGCACCAGTGGGTGGGTGGGATTTAGATCAAGAAAGGAGTGCAGGGCAAAGGGTTAAGCATTCCCTAATCTAGCATCACTCCTCCAGGCAAAACTAGAATCCCCTCACACACAGAGAGAGAACTGTTTCGAAGGGTGTGTGTTTTTTTTAAAAAAAATATTATTATAATTTTAAGTTGAAAAATCCAATCAGAAATTGTCACTCCTGTGTTGGACCTGAGATAATTAGGTTTCAGGTTATCCCCATGCAGAACCTGCTACACCTACGTATATACCTTTTACGCAAATTGCCCTGTACAAGCCGACTTGCCAATCCTTTTGTAGTACCTACTGTTAGATTCCTCCCTGCTTTCCATTATCACACATCCAGCCCTTTCCAGCCCTTCTCCTGCCCTCTCTGGTCCTGAATATCTTATTTCGTAATTCCTGTACTACAGCAGAGCTTTGAGGCAGCAATTGGGGAATACTCTCTACCCTCCAAACCTCTATTGTTTATATACAGGTTTTAACGTAGCCTCCCCCAAAGAATGCCGGGGATTGTAGTTTGGTTAGTGTTGAGAATTCTCCCTTGGAAATCCCTATTCTCACTGCTACTGTCCACCAAGCCTCCTTGAAGAGCAGGAATAGTCGTTGACAGTGTCGATACATCCAGTAGGAGAGCCGAAAATAAGGCCAATATATTTCACCTCTGGTATCAGACAGTTTGGTCAGAACAAAGTATACACCTCCAGAATGAGCTCCCGTTGCTCAGTCCCTGCTCCTGCCAACCTAGCAACATCAAAGTGCAAGTAGATAAATAGGTACCGCTCTGGCGGGAAGGTAAACGGCATTTCCGTGCGCTGCTCTGGTTTGCTAGAAGCGGCTTAGTCATGCTGGCCACATGACCCGGAAGCTGTACAACGGCTCCCTCGGCCAATAAAGCGAGATGAGCGGCGCAACCCCAGAGTCATCCGCGACTGGACCTAACGGTCAGGAGTCCCTTTACCTTACTTCTGGTAAATGAGCCAACCGAACCGCTAGAGCAGGCATAGGCAAACTCGGCCCTCCAGATGTTTTGAGACTACAATTCCCACCATCCCTGACCACTGGTCCTGTTAGCTAGAGATGATGGGAGCTGTAGTCCCAATACATCTGGAGGGCCAAGTTTGCCTATGCCTGCGCTAGAGAGCTGTGAACATTTGTGTCCTGGGCTACCCATGTACTATCTGAAACCAAAGGGGCGCATTGGTTGCCAGATGTGATTTCCCCCCCCCCTCAGCTCTCCTACACCACTATTGAATCGACTTTAATTCTAGGGCTCTGACTGGGAACATGTGAAGGAATAGCGGGGGGGGGGCCTCCTCTGAGTATGTGCCAAGTGCCTTTCCCTTGCCCGTGGATAATCCCAGTTAATGGATCTAAGGAACTGGCCACTCAGAGCTGTCCCAGGTGCTTTCACCTCTCTTTTTAGAACTAATTTGGGGTACACTCGTGATCAGGGCCACCACCATAATACCTAGCGTATGGATTTATTCTCTCTCTCTCTCCCCAGACGCGAAGGACTAGTGAATCTGCTTTACCTCCGGGAAATTCTCGTCACGTACGTGGCCTTCCACCAAGGTGAGGAAACTGCTGTACTCGACCCACTTCCAGGAATCTCACTTGATGGCATCAGATGTCTGCCTGCCAGCTTCCCTGCTCCATTCACCTCCACCCCTCTATCCATTCCTGACACTTTACAGGCCTGCCATTCATCATTTATATGGTGCTTTTAATTTGCCACGTCCTTTTCAACCCAAACTGTTTCTCAAAGAGGCGTAGGGCTTTTCTCAAGGCAGTTCAGGGGCGGAACAGACCTTCCCCTCAGGAGGTCTCTGCTAAACATCCCACAGCCAGCAGTGTAGACCGTGCTAGATATAGTGCGTACATTTTTGCACAATAAGGAATGTGCAAAACTCCCTAGACCCACTCTGTATGCATCACACTCACATGTCTAAGCCCACATGTGTGTCCACCGCTCATGTGTATTCATACACACGCTACCAGGGTTCTTTAGAGCGGGGGGGGGGGGAGTCAGGGCTGTTAAAATGGTGCTTTAAATGTATGCCATGGATGTGACCTTAGCATCCTCGCTTTCTACAGAATCCCATCATGAAAATATAAAACCGCAGACCCAAAGATGACATCCAGACCAATCTTGCCAATCCTATACTTCTGTCATAGATCTAGCGTACCAGAGTCTGTGAAGTGTAGAAATTAATAAAGGGTAGTGGGTGGCGCTGTGGTTAAAACCTCAGCACCTAGGACTTGCCGATCGCATGGTCAGCGGTTCGAATCCCCGCGGCGGGGTGAGCTCCCATCGTTCGGTCCCAGCTCCTGCCCACCTAGCAGTTCGAAAGCACCCTTAAGTGCAAGTAGATAATTAGGTACCGCTTTATAGCGGGAAGGTAAAAGGCGTTTCCGTGTGCTGCTCTGGTGCCGGTTTGCCAGAGCAGCTTCGTCACGCTGGCCACGTGACCCGGAAGTGTCTGCGGACAGCGCTGGCTCCCGGCCTCTAGAGTGAGATGAGCGCACAACCCTAGAGTCTGTTAAGACTGGCCCGTACGGGCAGGGGTACCTTTACCTTTACCTTAGTATTTAGACAATGGGACACGGGTGGCGCTGTGGGTTAAACCACAGAGCCTAGGATTTGCCGATCAGAAGGTCGGTGGTTCGAATCCCCATGACGGGGTGAGCTCCCATTGTTCAGTCCCAGCTCCTGCCAACCTGGCAGTTCGAAAGCACGTCAAAGTGCAAGTAGATAAATAGGTACCGCTCCGGCGGGAAGGTAAACGGCGTTTCCATGCGCTGCTCTGGTTCACCAGAAGCGGCTTAGTCATGCTGGCCACATGACCTGGAAGCTGTACGCCGGATCCCTCGGCCAGTAAAGCGAGATGAGCGCAGCAATCCCAGAGTCGGTCACAACTGGACCTAATGGTCAGGGGTCCCTTTACCTTTATTTAGACAATATTTGGAATATGAAGGGAGAATACAAGCTGCAGAACTGTGCCACGCAATAAATTCCTGAGCTAGGCTTCTGCGAAACAGCTTGGCTGGGCTAGCTAAGTGCAGAGCCATGAAAAAACAACAGGGAGCCAGGGACAAAACCATTAACTGTCATTGGCAATGCAAAATGCTATCCTTCCCTCCTGCTCTGAGGAATGGACAGCGAAAGGAGATCTGGGAGGTAGCCAAGGTGGCAGGAGCATGTTGTCACAGGAAAAAGTGTCCTTTTTGAAATCTAAAGGTGCAGGAGGAAGTAGACAGGATTCCAGGCCACAAAGGGCAAAACCACCTTGGCAGGCTGGGACAGAGGCACGAGAGGGGCTGCAGGAAGCCTTGAACTCCATGCCTGCTGGCTGGAGGAAGTTGCACCGAGAAACCAGGAGCCATGACTGACTGTTGCTTTGGACCCCAACTTGCTGAAGCTATGAGAGACACTCTTGGGGTAGAATGTTCTGCACCCCTCCATTGAAGGCTTTAGGTGTAAATATGTGTAAAATAAACCCCATTTCTTCATGACACTAGCCTCAATTTTCCCAACGGAAGCACAATAGCTGGGCATGTGCCTGGACCCCCTGGAATCTTGCTACCGCTCGTCACAGGTTAGGGGTGGCTCATAACCTCTTTAACAATACATTCTTTCTCTGCTTTTAAAGCAATGCAAGAGTAAACAGGGTTGTTGCAGAGTAAAGGGGTGCAAAGATGTAGTCAGCAATGGGTAATTGCAGTAGTGGGCTCAGATTGTGATCTTTGGGGATTCCAACTACACAAGTATATCATTCCCCCCCCCCCGTGAACAGTAGAGGAGCATGATCTTCTGGATTCATGATTCTGTGATCTTTTGAGCTATTTATTATCCCTTTATTGCATGACACTTTGCACATGCCATGTTTCCCCCCTGAATGGCTGCGAGGCGGGCTGGCAATTCCGGGTGCCAACAGCACTTCTTCCCATAGCTGTCAACCTTCAGATTTGAAAATAAGGGATCAGCAGCCTCACCTGTCCCGGGGACAGTCTACGGGATATCTAACAATCCAGGATAGCAGCAGGAAGCAGCGAGAAACAGCGCTAGAATAAGGGAATTTCCCGCAAAAAAGGGGAAGGTTGACAGCTATGCTTCTTCCCTACTGCTGGTTTCTTTCCTCCTCTGCAGACATCGGATATTGCCAGGGCATGAATGACTTTGCCAGCCGCTTTCTGGAGACCCTGGAAAATGAGACTGAAGCCTTCTGGTGCTTTGTGGGCTACATGAGACGTTCAGCGTGGAGTTTCACCACCATGGGTGTTCGCCGCAAGACACGTGAGAAAACGGGGAGGGAGAGGGAGAAACACCTCCCCACAGCCCTGACACAAACATACATTATCCTCTCCAGGTTTAAGCACTAGGGAGGAATGGACTGTTCTGAAAATTTTCAGGGGATGTGGATTGTGGAAAGCGCCAACTGAATGCTGCCTGTGATGTCACTCCCAAAACTCCCATAATCATTTTGCAACTGCCCCCCTTTAAATGCCTTAGAATTAACATATGAATTGGTAAACATACATGTGGCATAGGGGAAAGAGGCACAACCATTGCTCACCCCGTGTTCCATTTGCTAGAATGCAGCTCTGCCATGCAAATTGCAAAATTAGGAAAAAAACCTCACTCACACCGTGCGTGAAGAACCTAGCTGTGGCCTCTCTACATATTTTAACTGTCTTCAGCCAGGGAAAAAGAAATATGGGAGTGGGCAGTTAACCAAGCAGTGGAAAGGGACATTGGGAGAGAGGAGGCAGTGGTGTAGCGTGGGTTGCTGGCATCCCGGGCAGGCAAGCTGAAGCTGACAATGGAGCAACCCCCCCACCAGAGCCAAGCAGGACCATGCTGCACCACCTGCCTGCACGCACAGGGTGAGCCTGCCCGGCTGACGTGGCCCTTGGCGGACGAATCATCCTGACGCCTGCAAAGAGAAGAGAGCCGGGCTAGGCTATGCTGAGGTTGCCCCTTGCCCACCTCCCTCCATCGGTGCCTGCTCACCATGATCCTAGGCTGTTCCCACCGCCAACAGGGAGAGGGAAGCATATGCACCCCCAATGCACCCAGGGCAACTGCCCCTCTCACACACACCCAATGCTATGCCACTGAGAGGAGGTATATAGTCTCCTGGCTTCTACTTGCTGGACCATGTGTATTCGGTCAGGCATAGGCAAACTCAGCCCTCAAGATATTTTGGGACTACAATTCCCATTATCCCTAGCTAACAGGACCAGTTGTCAGGGATGATGGGAAATGTAGTCCCAAAACATCTGGAGGGCCAAAGTTGCCTATGCCTGTATTAGGTCTTAGATTGAAGGAGAGAGGGTATTGATAGGCAGAGCTGTGTGCAATTAAAAAGAAAAACCTGCGCTAAGAAAAGCTAAATTCTGCAACCTGAATAAAGCCAAAGGGCATACATTTGCTAAAGAATCTACTTTGTTCAGCTTTTGCAAGTCATGGGGAAGAAAAAGAAGCTCCACCCCCACCCCAGCAAAGTCCACCGGCCTTGGACATTTTACCATGCATTACTCATGATGTGCATGTAATGTTTCCTCCAGGTGAGAACACCTCTTTTGACATGTTGGCAACCTTCGCAAATCAGGATCTTTGTCACCACCTATCCCAGTTTTGTCCCTCTCCAGAGAGCAGTTTGTTGAGGGCAAAGATGGCATGGGGACATGGAGTTGGTTGGTTGGTTGGTTGGTTGGTTGGTTGAGTGCATGATGTGAGGCATTCTTTTGGCACTGCGGGTTAAACCACAGAGCCTAGGGTTTGCCAGTCAGAAGGTCGGCGGTTCGAATCCCCGCAACCGGGTGAGCTCCCGTTGCTCGGTCCCTGCTCCTGCCAACCTAGCAAGTTCGAAAGCACGTCAAAGTGCAAGTAGATAAATAGGTACCACTTTGGCAGGAAGGTAAATGGTGTTTCCATGCGCTGCTCTGGTTTGCCAGAAGCGGCTTAGTCATGCTGGCCACATGACCTGGAAGCTGTACGCCAGCTCCCTTGGCCAGTAAAGCGAGATGAGCGCTGCAACCCCAGAGTCGTCCACAACTGGACCTAACAGTCAGGGGTCCCTTTACCTTTACCTTTCTCCTGCCTGCACAGAAATCTGTGAGGAGCTTCTGAAACACGTGGACCCAGAACTGTATGACCACATCGAGAGCGTGTCCAGTGACAAGCTGCTCTTTTGCCTCAGGTAAAAAAACCAACCCACCTCCCTACAAACCCTGGACAAGGAGGAGGGAGCAAACTGCAGAGATCCCCACAGAAGGGGTGGCTCTCAGCCAGCATGCAGAGGTGACCAAATTCTGCAACAAGAGCTTGATTTTGTGACCTGCATAAATCATACAAATTAAGCCCATCCTGAATAATTGATTATGCAGACACAAGTTTTGCATAATCAGCATCTATGTCTCTAAGATATGGAAGCTAGCACCCATGCAAAGACCTCTTTAAAATACAAAGCTTTATCTGTGTGTTTCTTTCCTTATATACTATACTAGGCCTTCCACTCTTGCTGTCAACTTGTCCAATACGTGCTTCTTAATTTCTAGCTCTGATTACTGGGGCTGGTGGAAAAAAATACATGCTGTTCATGCTCAGAGACATCACACATTAAACGGGACAAAGTGTTCCACGGGTGCTAGTGCTGAAACCCCAGGAGAGTGGTCTGCGTCAGATTTGACCCAGGCCGAGGAAGGACCTAGAAATGGGCTAGAGGGGTCTGTAAAGAAGTGGGCTTTTGTCAGTGTAAAATGAAAGGCTAAGGCCGTCAGTTTTCCTTATCCATCACCTCTTGGAACCCTCTATGTCAGGGGTAAGCAACCTAAGGCCCAGGGGCCGGATGCGGCCCAATCGCCTTCTCAATCCGACCCACGGACGATCCAGGAATCAGTGTTTTTACATGAGTAGAATGTGTGCTTTTATTTAAAATGCATCTCTGGGTTATTTGTGGGGCCTGCCTGGTGTTTTTACATGGGTAGAATGTGTGCTTTTATATATATGAATATATATAAATGCATCTCTGGGTTATTTGTGGGGCATAGGAATTCATTCATTTCCCCCCCAAAAAAAAAAATATAGTCCAGCCCCCCATAAGGTCTGAGGGACGGTGGACCGGCCCATGGCTGAAAAAGGTTGCTGACCCCTGCTCTATGCGACTCTATGTCAGGTGGCTGCTGCTACTTTTCCAGAAGGACCTAGACCATTCTGATGCTGTGAGGGTCCTAGAGATCAGCGCCTTGGAATCTGAGAGGATGAATTTTGGAGCCTGGATCTGGCTGACTCGTAGGGAAGGTGAGCCCTGTGCTCTTGGGAAGCAGGTCCCTGGAGGCACAGCAGTAGCATAAACTGTGATTCCTCCACCTGGGGACAAGAATGGCGCACTTCATTCTGCCATGCGAGCATTCTGCTGCCTCCTTTCACTGTGCATTTATACCAGGCCAGAAATGTCTTAGGGAGAAGGAAAAGGTGTTTCTGGGATCTTCTTCTTCTTTGGTGATCGCTCGTAGCAGAGTAAGATTGTCTTCCATAAACACGGTTTTAGCAGTGAGTCCATAAGTGACTGTGGAGGCCAATTCTGAATCCACACATCCTTCCACAGTGGGGACATTGGTTTCCGGACGGGAGTTCATCACGGTGTGGATTTGCCAATTTCCTCTTAGCACGTTTCTGGGATAAACTATTACAAAGCAGGGAAGTACAGTGGTGCCTCGCAAGACGAAATTAATCCGTTCCGCGAGTCTCTTCGTCTTGCGAATCATGGCTATTAGTGGCTTAGCGGCTTTAAGAAAAAAGAAACAAACTCGCAAGAACTCGCAAGACGTTTCGTCTTGTGAAGCAAGCCCATAGGGAAATTCGTCTTGCGGAACGACTCAAAAAACGGAAAACCCTTTCGTCTAGCGAGTTTTTCGTCTTGCGAGGCATTCATCTTGCGGGGCACCACTGTAGGTTTCAGCATACAATTTAAAGGCAGAAGGTGGTCAGTTAATTAATGTTTATTTATTTTTGCAAGCCACCAAGTGATGACCTACAGTTTTTATTTATACAATTGTCACCATTTTGGCACCATTTTTATTTTCTTGCCTCCGATTGTCTTGGCAAGTGAAAGACATCCTTCAGTACAATTTCAGTGGCAACATTAGAAAATGATCCAAATGGGAGTCAAATTCTAAGAGGGAGCCAAATTATAAGGTGCTACGAAATTTTGAATCTGTGTGAATCTTTGCTTCAGCTCTAATGGGAGAGCAACTCGGACTTTATCAAGGAAAGCCCTTTACGCAACCTTGCTCCACAACTCATCCCCACCCCCAGGTCTCCCATCACTGAGCTCCCCTGGGGCCTCACTCCCAAACAACTCCCTGAATTGGTTTAGGTCCACAATCCAAAAGAAGTCTTGGAGAAAGCATACAATATTCTCTGCCAATAGGTGAGGAGTCCCTGCCAGGCCCTTTCACATCTGTAGATCGGGAGGAAATCACGTTTGAAGTGCTGCTTTGCATTGCTGTCCTGATCAAGAACAGGAGGAAGCTGCTGCAATACCAGGACGTCAGTGACTTTTACCTGTTTGCACAGAGGTAAGCAACACAGCTACCTATGAAGTGGAGCTTTAAAGTTCTGGAGATGCATGCTGTACTAGTTAAGGGCAGTAGAGGCTGGTGTGCCCATTATGACTGGCTAGGGAGACAGACACTAGGTGGGGCCAGAGCCAGGAAACGAATTCTGCTTATCTCCAGCTGAAGCAAAGAAAAAGCAGGCAGTGCTCCTCTGTCCCGTTCCTTCCTGGGTCTTCTCCTCACCTGCTGGGCAGCACACTTGGAGACCTTGGAGACACAGTAGGGGCAGACAATAGAAAGAAACTGGTCTTTTATGCCACTTCAGCTGGAGATGTGAAAGGCAATGTCAGATGTCTGAGGCAAGAGATGACAACTTTGATATTGTCTACACAGATGCTTCTCTGCTCTGCATCTGCCTGGCCTTTAAGTGTAAGGACTTACGGAGAATATGGCTAGATCAGATCACAGGTTCATCTAGGCTAGCAACAGGGTCCAGCCAAATGCTTCATTGCTAAAGAATTGACCGCTTAGCTAGCTGGGTCATCATCCTGACCCAGCACTCCTGCGCTTCCAAAAGAGGAGTCCAAGTGTGGTTCCCAGCAAGTCGTGTGATATGAGTTTGCTATCAAACGTGGGTAGCTGGGCTGATGATTTTGCTACTCTTGGCACAGGTTGCAGGGGAGACTTCAGCTGAACACACTGCATGGAGAAGAGCGGCGGTAATGAGTGACCTCTTGAGAGCAGGGATCTAAAGAGGACTACAAAGAACACCCCACCCCCCATGGACTTGAGTGGTCCCTGAAGGAAGAAATGAGATCACCATCTCTTTGGAAGCCAATCTCCAATGAAGCTATAAGCAATATCAACCTAGAATTTTGTCACAGCCTCTTAATAAGCAAACATAGAAACTAGGACACCTTCTCCACCTCGGACCTAAATATCCTACAATATTAGTTTCTGCCCATTTCAAACGAGATGTGGCTCCCACTCAAGGGATGCTGTGAGTTGCAGTTCTGTTTAAAGTTGTTGGGCTTTCTAACCAAAGGCACATGTACACTACAGACTTAAAACTGATTTAACAGTCATTCCAGCTCCTCAGGACACACGGGGAACTACCGCTCTGTCTGTAGAGATCTCTCAGCACCTTCACCAAAATTACAGCTCCCAGGATTCTTCGAGAGAAAGCCAGGACAGTTAAAACTGCAATAAAACCAATATACAGGTTTGTAGTGTAGATTTGCCCTAAAACTTATCGGCACATTCACAAAACAAATGGCAATTACCAGTGTTCATTACCAATGAAAAACACCCAGGGCTAACCATTTTGCATGATGAACCAAGGAAAATGAGGAACGGTTTGGAGAGCAAAATTGTGCCTTGAACCCAGAGAGATGACAGACACACTGATATTTCTGCAAAATGTCTCTTTTGAGCTGTGGCTGTTTGCGGGGAGGGGATTCAGGGACCGTACAGATGCTTAGAATTCTAAAGTCTAAATACTGAAAACTTTTCATAGATAGGGAGCGGAATGTTCCCCTCTTCCTCTTCCCTCACTTTTTCCCATTATCCATCATAAACTCCATAATCTAGAAGGTAGTTTTACTGCTCTACCCCTTGGCAGTTGCTGGGCCTGAAAGCACTTATATTCGCTTGGTTTCCTTAAACCAGGAGTGAGGAACTTTTGGCCCTCCAGATGTTGCGGAACTACAACTATCAATCCCAGTAAGCATGGGCAATGGCCAGCAATGATGGGAGTTGTAGTTCAGCAACATCTAGAGGACCAAAGATTTTCTACCCCTGCCTTAAACCATTATAACCCCTGAATTGGAGAGGGATGCAGAGAAAAACCCAACAGAAATTGTTTTAAAAGATTTGGGGCACGTGGGGATTTTAAAAGATTTGGGGCACGTCTGTGGGGAGAGACACAAGAACTGGAATGTTTCAGAGTTCATTTTACAGTGAACAGGAAGAGAAATATATGGAGTATCAGCAAAAGCAATGGCTTTTTCAGAAAGAAATGTCCCCCCCCCTTCATTCCTGGCCTAAAGAAACAGCTCAGTATCTGGTATTCTGTGCCTGCACTTTACTGCTGTGGGTCAGGGAATCTGCTGGCTGAATGTTTTTCTCATATTAAAAAGCAAAACCTCCATGCACATAGAACAGTCCTGTTAGAGAAGGATGCCCCCCCCCAATACACTCACACTGGAAGGTCATTCAAGCCTGCAATCCCCAACCTGTAGTCTCAAGTGGTTTATTGTCCATAAATAGCTTTATCATGTGATCTGCTGTTTGTCTAGCCTGGGCATGAGCCCCAGTGATGGGGGAGGGGATCTGTAGTCCATTCTCACCTTTGGCCAGGTTTCATAATGGGCATATAACAGTGCACAATGGGATAGAAGAATATACACAGAGAAAGACAATGGGTTTTTTTTAGAATGCTTTGGAGGCAAATTCATTCCGTACAAAGAGACTTAAATGCAAGCGAAACCAGGCAACAGAAAGGGAGAGCTGGGAGATGGTTCAAAGTCTGTTCAGAACAGGCTACGGCAGAAAGGAAATAGCAAGAACGGAGAAAGAAATATTGCATAAGCGTTGTTGGGGAACATGGTGCCAACCTGGTGCAATGACAGCAACACCCAGGCCCGTCTTACCCATAGAGGCTAGTGGCGCGGGGCGCCGAGTTCTGGAGGGCGCCAGGCGAGAGTCTGGGGAACACCGAACGAGCGCGCTGAGTGAGCAAGGGTGCGTGCGCCGCTCCGGCCGAGCATCGGCTCGGTTTTTTCCCTTTTAGCCTGCAGGCGCCGAATTCTGTGGGGTGCCAGAAGGCTACAAGGGGGAAAACCGAGCCGATGATGTTGGATAAGAAGTTAAGTGGTTTTTTGCTATAATGCTATGAGGAATATGAAAAAATGGATTATTAATAGGTTAAAATTTAAGGTTAAAATATTTTAAGATTAAAGATTAGGATAAACAAAGAGGGAAAGGATTTGCTGAATTAACAAATTGAATTGGAATACAAAAAAGGGAGGTGTGAGGAGGTCCAGGAAACAAGCAAATGAAAGATAAGTAATGGAAAGATGGAATTGTTTTTAACTATTTTTATTTTGTATTTTTCTTTTTTCTTTTTTCTTTTTGTAATACTTTGAAAATCTTAATAAATATCTTTTAAAAAGGGGGGGGGGAACCGAACCGCTCACTCGCTCAGTGTGCTGCCTGCCATGCCCACCACGGCACGAAGCAGCCAGCTGAGCTGGGAAGTGCTGCGTCCAGCCTCCGCCTCTTCCCCGCCAGAGGAGCTGCCCTCCAGCTGCTGCCTGCCTCCTCCAGCCCTAAAAAAGGTCGACAACTCTGGAAAGGGAGGGGCGCCGGAGGGATCTTTGCACCACGGTGCCGGATATGCTTAAGATGGCCCTGGCAATACCCACCAGAAGCATCTCAGCAATGCTGCATGGACAGCTGCCCTGATCTCCCTAGCAACACTGCAATGACATCAACTGCTCCTACTCCAGCACAGCAGCAACAGCACCATTGCATTTAATTTCCTGTAACGTTTGGAGCCACACACAAAAAGAAACTCCTCACTGATGTTACAGCACCGGGCGATTTATTCCAGCCCCAGAGATCCGGCTTCTCTCGTGATCCAGGGGCTGCCCTGGTTACAGGGCAGGAGAGGGAAGCAGTGGGCCCCCACCCGCTCCCGTTCCTCCCTTCCACGCCAAGGCAGCATTAGTTACTGAGCGCACAGCAGAGGCAGGGGGAAATAACAAACGGCTTCATGCCACCCGCTTCCCCCTTTAATGCTGCTTTATTACAGCAGCGAGTTCAGGCGCAGGTGACGGCGCCATAAACCGCGGCTCGGGTGCTGGCAGAGAAGCCATTTATTAAAGAGAGTGAAGGCAAAGAAAACATTAAGAAGGGCAAGGAGATTACGGGCAGAGAACTTTCTCACAAGGATGCAACATGCCGTAAAAAGCTGGCCGAGACTCCTTCCTGTAGAGCTTGGCATTGTGGACCACCACCCCACCACAGACCATCTGGTCACTTTTGCTCCCCCTCCACTGACTGCTTGAAGCCCCAGACACATCAAGAAACCACCTTCTTTCCCCTTTGTGCTGTCACAGGCACTAAGATCACTCAGAGAGGTGACTCGCTGGACAGCACACCCCCAACCCCCGTTCCCTAGGCTGCCTGTCAAAGGAATAGAAAGAGCCCTGCTAAATCAGGTTGTGTGATCTGGGGGTTGCCTCCAGACTCAGGATTCAAGGGCATATCAGATTTTTAAGTTTGCACATTTAAAGTGGGTTAAAGTACTCTGTTGGGACGCGGGTGGCGCTGTGGGTAAAAGCCTCAGCGCCTAGGGCTTGCCAATCGAAAGGTCGGCGGTTCGAATCCCCGCGGCGGGGTGCGCTCCCGTTGCTCAGCCCCAGCGCCTGCCAACCTAGCAGTTCGAAAGCACCCCCAGGTGCAAGTAGATAAATAGGGACCGCTTACTAGCGGGAAGGTAAACGGCGTTTCCGTGTGCGGCTCTGGTTCGCCAGATGCAGCTTGTCACGCTGGCCACATGACCCGGAAGTGTCTCCAGACAGCGCTGGCCCCCGGCCTCTTGAGTGAGATGGGCGCACAACCCTAGAGTCTGTCAAGACTGGCCCGTACGGGCAGGGGTACCTTTACCTTTACCTTTTTAAAGTACTCTGTTGGCCTAGCGCAACAATTCGACAGTATACAGAGTTTGGAAATGAATGGCCAAATACATCAGAAAGTGTGGGGTGCACGCACCATTAACAGGAAGCGGTATAGACACCCTGCAAGCAAATCAGGACGAATGCCCATTGTCATGCAACCGTCCCATAAACAAATGAGAACAAATAATACATACATACATACATACATACATACTTTTATTATTTATACCCTGCCCATCTGGCTAGGTTTCCCCAGTCACTCTGGGCAGCTCCCAAAAAAACACTAAAAACAGAATAAAACTTCCCTAAACAGGGCAGCCTGCTTATAGGGCTGCCAGATATAGCCTAACTACCAGCTATATAAGCAGTGTACAAGCAAATCAGGATGAATGCTGAACAGGCCCTCCATAGGCACCCTGATCAAGCATCCTGTTCCCACACGGGCCAAACTAGGTGCCCTGGGGAGCTCAAAAAGTCTGAGCCTGACTTTTCTCTAGATTAATGATGCAACTTGGGTGGCGCTGTGGGTTAAACCACAGAGCCTAGGGCTTTCCGATCAGAAGGTTGGCGGTTCGAATCCCCGCCACGGGGTGAGCTCCCGTTGCTCGGTCCCTGCTCCTGCCCACCTAGCATTTCGAAAGCACATTAAAGTGCAAGTAGATAAATAGGTACCGCTCCGGCGGGAAGGTAAACAGCGTTTCCGTGCGCTGCTCTGGTTCGCCAGAAGCGGCTTAGTCATGCTGGCCACATGACCTGGAAGCTGTACGCCGGCTCCCTCGGCCAATAAAGCGAGATGAGCGCCACAACCACAGAATCGCCCATGACTGGACCTAATGGTCAGGGGTCCCTTTACCTTTACCTTTTAATGATGCAACTTACCTCTTTGGGCTGACAGTCAAAAACCAAGGTAGAGTTAATGTGGAGTGTTTGTAATGTTAACTGGGTATTTTCCACTTCTTTTTTACTGCAATTTGCTTTATTTTCTAACTTTTTACACACCAGCACAGGAAGCTGTGTTACACTGAGTCAGACAATATGCCTATCCAGGCCTGGCAGGGCCAGCTCAAAACATGTTGATGCCCAAGGCAAGGAGCAACATGGCTCATTCTACATGCAGAAGCCAACCAGAGTGGAGGTTGAACCTTAGCTTGCCCTGGTGATGAGACACCATCCTCCAGCACCCCCGAGGGCAGCCAGTAGGGTAGCTTAGAAGGCAAGGCTACTTGGGACACACAGCTCTGTCCTTCCAACACCCCACTGCCTCTCCAGGCCTCCCAGAATCAGCCGTCTCACACAGCCAGCCCCACTGGCCTAGAGAAAGTCTCTTGGGGTTAGAGCATTTTTAGCTCTGCTAGTGGGAGATTTCAGAATCTCAGCGCCGTGGGTTCGAGCCCTATCTGGGGCAAGAGATTCCTGCATTGCAGGGGGTTGGACTAGATGACCCTCATGGTCCCTTCCAACGCTACAATTCTGTGATTCTAATATTATAAATAGGGACGTGGGTGGCGCTGTGGGTTAAACCACAGAGCCTAGGACTTGCCGATCTGAAGGTCAGTGGTTCGAATCCCCGCGACAGGGTGAGCTCCCGTTGCTCGGTCCCAGCTTCTGCCAACCTAGCAGTTTTAAAGAACGTCAAAGTGCAAGTAGATAAATAGGTACCACTCCGGCAGGAAGGTAAACGGCGTTTCCGTGCGCTGCTGTGGTTCGCCAGAAGCGGCTTAGTCATGCTGGCCACATGACCCAGAAGCTGTACGCTGGCTCCCTCGGCCAATAAAGTGAGATGAGCGCCGCAACCCCAGAGTCGGCCACGACTGGACCTAATGGTCAGGGGTCCCTTTACCTTTAATATTATAAATCCAAAGGTGCCTGTGGTTGAACCTGAGCTCTTATACATGCAAAGCATGAGCTCTGTCACTGAACGTCCCCCTCCCGTTACCTCCAGCAAGCCTTTGGGAAGAAGGTGGGATAGAAATCAAATGAAACTAGTAAATCACAACATTCGAGAGGCCTTGCTTCACACATCACACGACAATGTCTTCCGCATCTTTCCTTTCCCCTCCTTGCTTTACATACAGGTGCGCCAGGGTGTGTGTGCTGGCGTACAACCTTCAAAGGGACATACATTTTATTAATTTTATTTATAACCTGCTCTGCATTCTTCAAGTGAATCCCAGAGGCAACATTAAAAACATGATAAAACAATATGTCATTTAAATACAATTAAATGTAAAAAAAAAAACACCACCCACACAATATAACAACAATATAATTACATCAGCCAAGCAAGAAGCAGCACCACATTAAGAGATGGGGTGAACACCTCACATCTCCCCCTGA